ACGAAGATGTGAGTAGACCATCAATTACAGGTTGTGATAACAGAGCTGTTCGAAAACATTTACAAGGGGGCGACCAGGCAACAAAGCCAACGTCGAAACATATGCGAGTTTATTGATCACTTACAACTACTTACGACACACGACTTCTCGGAGTTGCCCAAGTGCGAAGGGACTGTCAGGTATGGATGAAATATTTTGATCTATTCACAGATACTCATAGGCTGCTACTAGGCCTCAAAGTCGAAGCACGAGTGGATGTCAGTACATTGACCATATAGGGCTACTCACATACTCTTTAGGGCGCGACGACGCGACGCGTTTGCCACGTGTAGTACGTGTTGATTTGCCATCCATTTATGGGTATTTGTTTGCATTTGTATTGACACGCATATTACAGTCCCTTGTAAGGTCATATCCCTCCAACTACCTAGTAATCTCTAACGTACACAAGCTTGAACCAGAAAGTCCTTAAACGCGGTGAATGTCGTGGGAATCCGCACATTCTCCGCATGTTCTCCCCCGCCAAAATCTGGCCCTTCACGCTGTGCGCTCTGTCAGGTAAGTCACGCCGGTGCTTTCGTGAGCATCACACCGTAGGCCGACAGGACGCTGTGGAAGCCTATAGCTACCGCAGGTTGGATCAGGAAACGTGGGCCGTCGACATTGAGTCACGTTTGAAGGAGCATATTCCCATTCATTCCGGAAAGACCACCTCGATGCAGAAGTTCCATCCTATCCGTGCGTGTATGGTACCTGCCGCTGAGGAAGCATGAGAAGGCGAGCCTGGTTTCCGCCCGACATGAAGGGAGGATGAAGGGGTAGGGGCCGTCCGGAGACGGCGAACGTGAGCGACCCGGCACTCCGGGTCGCACGAGTGCGATCGCGATAGGATCAGCATTCGTTCACGATGACGCCGAGCATGGCGACAGCGGCTGGTATAAGATTCAACGTCCGGGAAGTAACATCGCGATATACCACCACCACCTCACATCCCAAAGTCCTTGACAACAACCATGAGCGGGCGACTTGCTTCAGGTGAGTAGTACTTTTGGCTTAGCGCGGTCGGAGAGTAGCCTCGTGGGATGGGTGACGGCAGGATGGACAACTCGGAGATGAGGTAGATCCCCTGCGGATTCGGGCTGTGAAGGAAGAAGGGCTGGCCATATGCGCGCAGATGGGCACGTCCACATACGAGACAGCCTATATGCCGCTGTAGATCGGCGTAACCGCCGCGCCTTCTGGTACTCTACGCCGACCTTTCCCTGTTCTCAGCGTCGATCAGCGAGACGCGCGTAGGAGCATCGCGCACGCCCTTCTTTCGTTGTCGCGCGCGAGCTTGCGTCAGTGTGATGAGAACTTGTTGGTGCGCGGATTCGTGGCTGTCACCTATTCATTGTGTCTCCCCGTTCATATCTGGCTAACCTGGTCAAGGGGTGAGGTGAGACCAGAGGGATGGTGCGCGTGCTTGAATGCAGCGGCCACAATGGTGTACACTGCGCGCACCTAACTCGTCGTGTATGTGACTCATAAGTCTCGCTTCGTTATATACCCTGGACGCATTCGATAGTATGAGGCAAATACTCATTGTCATCCTCTCGCACAGAATACTCCTCCTGGAAGAAACTCCAGCAGATCTACGACACCGAACATAGCAAGCTCGTCCTTAGGGATCTCTTCGCGCAGGACCCCCAGCGCTTCGCCAAGTTCAGCCGCGAGTATACCTCTTCTGATGACCCCTCCGTGACCTTCCTCCTCGACTTCTCTAAGAACCTTATCACTGAGCCCATCCTCGCCTCGCTTCTTGACCTCGTCCGCGAGGCGCAGGTTGAGGAGTACCGCGAGAAGATGTTCAATGGCGAGCACATCAACACCTCTGAGGATCGCGCCGTCCTCCATGTCGCCCTCCGTAACTTCGATGAGTTCAGGATCAACGAAGCCGGTGTCGACGAGGTTGGAAAGGTCCTTGCCCACATAAAGGAGTTCACCGAGTCTGTCCGCAGCGGCGAGTGGAAGGGCTACACGGGCAAGACGATCAATACTATCGTCAACATCGGTATTGGTGGCTCTGACCTCGGTCCCGTCATGGTCACCGAGGCGCTGAAACCGTACGCGAAGCGCGATCTCAAGGCTCACTTCGTATCCAACATTGACGGTACCCACCTGGCTGAAACGCTTCGCGAGAGCGACCCGGAGACTACCTTGTTTATCATCGCGAGTAAGACCTTCACGACTCAGGAGACGATCACGAACGCGGAGAGTGCTCGCGACTGGTTCCTTGCCACGGCGAAGGATAAGGCGCACGTCGCGAAGCACTTCGTTGCGCTCAGCACCAACACGAAGGCAGTGACCGCGTTCGGTATCTCCGAGTCCAACATGTTCCAGTTCTGGGACTGGGTTGGCGGACGCTACTCGCTCTGGAGTGCCATTGGTCTCTCCATTGCCCTTGTCATCGGTTACGACAACTTCGAGCAGCTGCTGCGTGGTGCGCACGGCATCGACAAGCACTTCCGTACCGCGCCGCTTGAGCAGAACCTGCCCGTCCTCCTCGCGGTCCTCGGCATCTGGTACAACGATTTCTATGGTGCCCAGACCCACGCCCTCCTTCCTTACGATCAGTACCTGCATAAGTTTGCGGACTACTTCCAGCAGGGTGACATGGAGTCGAATGGCAAGTCGATTACCAAGGGTGGCCAGCGCGTCAACTACCAGACTGGCGTACGTGCATATAGCTACTAGATTTGCACCCGCGATCTGACTTCCTTGTTTGCCAGCCCATCATCTGGGGAGCCTCCGGAACGAACGGGCAGCACTCGTTCTACCAGCTCGTCCATCAGGGCACGAAGCTCATCCCCGCCGACTTCCTCGCACCCGCCACCACGCACAACCCCATCGCGCACTCCAAGCACCACCGCATTCTCCTCTCCAACTTCTTCGCTCAGCCCGAGGCGCTCGCGTTCGGCAAAACCGAGGAGGAGGTCCGCAAGGAGCTGGGCCCCAACGCGTCCGACGCGCTCGTGAAGTCCAAAATCTTCGAGGGCAACCGTCCGAGTAACAGCATCATCTTCCCGCTCCTGACCCCGGCGACTCTTGGTGCCCTCATCGCGTTGTACGAGCACAAGATCTTCACGCAGGGTGTTATCTGGGGCATCAACTCCTTCGGTGCGTACGGTGTTACCCTGTCTGGGATAGCGAGAGCTGACGTCGCTCTGCAGACCAAATGGGTGTTGAGCTCGGCAAGGTCCTTGCCAAGAACATCCTCAACCAACTCGAGAAGCCGGAGGACGTCAAGGGCCACGATAGCTCGGTACGTATCGGCTAGTCAGGGCTTCCCCTGCTTGTGGTATGCTGACTGAACGTTGCCGTAGACTACCGGCCTGATCCACTACTACCAGAAGTGGCGCAAGGAGTAAGTCGCGTTTCTGACAAGTAATGATAGATATATCAGATTAGAAGATCGCTAGGGACAAGCATGGAGCAGTGTATCGCTAAGTGTAACAATTTATCCGCGCTTTGTACCTCTGGTTATGTCTATGGGCCGCGATCGAGTGCCTAGGTTGTGAAAGTCGAGATTGTGGCAACTCTGGGGCTTATCTTCAGTCCTGGAGGAACGGGCAGTCTTGACCGCACCGCCTTATCGCCCTCTAGTCGTGTCACGCTGGAAGGGCTCTGTCTCGACTGGCACGTTGAAAACTATCTGAGAACGTTTACATCTAAGTAGACGCAGCAGGCTGCGTAATCACGTGTTCATGCAGTCGAATGATAGCGAAGCTTGCTAAACTCTGCACGGTGAATACGTGATTACGCAGCCTGCTGCGTTCAGTCGCAAATGTTCTCCCAGCACCAAGCATCTGAATGCAATGGCTGGAGACGCACAATCTCATTGTTAGTTGACTGTGACTGCCGTCCTGAATGCCTCCCGGCCCGGGGCGATATCTAGGCGCTGATGAGAGATACATCCCTGACCTGGTTCCGCAGGAACGCGCAGCGTGGGGTACGATTGCGCTTCTCTGTCCTATATCATATCTGACTCGCTAGATGCTGATAAAGTCCGGTGAGAGAGTACAAAGCTCGTGAACGCTTGTCACCATCCAGCGAGATCTGTTGACAATCATCGACATGGCTCCCGCTGGGTACGAGCTACTCTCTAAAAGCGACTCAGAACACGATGGGCTTGTACAGCCCGCCATTGGTTCTCGGAGCCGTCGTCAACGTCAATCCTCTAAGGGGTGCTTCAGTACTGTCCGCAATCTTCTACTGATTCTTGCTCTATTGGTTGGAACTGCGTTTGGCTTTGTGGTGATCGCGTACCTTCTCCAGTCCAAGCTCGTTCGCGTCGAGGACGGCAGCGCATCATCGCAGGACTCAGTGCCTGGATCTGGAGATGTATTTGAAGAGCCACTCCAGAGATGTCCTTCTAATCTCCCTCTACCGGCCAAACCGCCAGCACCTACTAATCCATTTGCGTCGTTGACCATCCCGGAAACGGTCGCGATTCACGACTGGGTCTCGTCGCCCGCGCTCAATCTCAACCTTACCGCCGGGGACAAGGCGTTCATCTCGGACAACTACATCTACCGCATCGAAGCCTATCGTCCGCCAAAGAAGGATGCAGTCGCATACCTCGACAACCCCGAGCAGTCTAGTCCCCCGGAGAAGTACGCGCACGTCGTCATCCATCACGGCTCAGCCAGCGAGCCGTACGTTCAAGACTACCTCGTTGGACCAATCCCCATCTCCGAGAAGACGGCGATGCGGAAGCTCACAGAGGTCTACCACCGCGACCCCATCCCGTACAGTGCCCGCGGTTTCACCACTATGAACGAAATTGCTCCTCTGCTGCTCAAAATTATGCCGCCCCTCGCTGAGGCAACTCAGGTCCGTTTGGAATCTGTATATTTTGGGACTCATGCGCATATGGCTGATGCGTGAACGGCAGGACCTCTTTGGCGGAGTAGTACGCGGACTCCCGAACGACACCATCGTGGGTGGCATGGCCGCGCCCTTCAGCTTTGACGGCTCTTTCCGCCGCGGGTGGATCAGCTGGCGCCGCAACGTCCCTGGACCGTGGCTGCACCCTGTCAACTTCTTCATGTATGTCGATACCACTGGGACCGACCCGGAGCAGTGGAAGCTTCTCAAGGTACGCTGTGCATCTAGTTCGATATCACCGAGTCGAAGCTGAATCTCGGAACGACATCGGACATCCTCAGCTCGTGTACAACCATCAGGTGTTCAACACCACAGACGATTTCTTGGCTGCGTACCGGAACGGGACGCTGAAGCGTCTCCCAGATCGCCCTGATCAGGACCCGTCGAGCGTGGACTGGAGCACGCGCAAGCGGCCCCAACCGCACTCTCTGCGCGACCTTGATGATCTTCCGGGGCCCCGCTCGGTCTCGTTTGGGGGTGTCAGATTCCGTGTGGATCGCGCGCTGCAGTATGTGAGCTGGATGGGTTGGGGCATGTACTTCGGCTTCGACAGGGATATGGGTCTCAGCTTGTGGGACCTCCGCTTCAAGGGAGAGAGGATCATCTATGAAGTCAGCAGGATCTCCTATAACCTTTCGGTTGAGCGCTGCTGATGGTCATCTATGGTAGCTCGCGCCACAAGAAGCTATGGCGCAGTACGGTGAGTTCTCCGAGCGCGTCAAATGGCATCTGTGCTAACATGACTACAGCTGGAAACGACCCCATGCAGAGCACAACAGCCTGGTTGGACAGATACTTTGGAATGGTAACTTTAGATTAACTCCTAACGTCTTTAGATGCCATATTCACTCGCTCATAGGGTTCAGCGGTTCGCGATATGATGCCTGGCTACGACTGCCCACATGAAGCCGTCTACCTTCCGGCCACCACATACAACTACGAGGGAAGCATCACCAGGGAACGCGCGATCTGCATTTTTGAGCACGATCCCGGCCGCCCGATCACTCGCCACACGGGCTACGCTGCAGGCGAAATGGGTGCGACGCTCGGATACCAGCTGATCGTGCGAAGCGTCTCGACAGTCGGAAAGTGCGTGTTCCTCTCGGTACCGGTGCATGCTCTGAGTGCTTACTGTGAGCTTCTGACCCATCATTGTGTAGCTACGATTACTGTGCGTCGCATCTGCAGTCTCGCTCGTACCTGCTCTCGTCTCACATGCGACGCGTCAGTGTTCGATTACATTTTCCAGATAGACGGCACAGTCGAGGTCCGCCTTTCCGCTTCCGGCTACTTGCAAGGTGGCTACTGGGAGCCGTCGCAGGAGGGGTACGGTACCGCTATCCGGGACTCGACGATGGGGTCTCTCCATGACCACGTCATCAACTACAAGGTGGAACACCTTCCTCGCTCCATGTCGTCGTCCGCTTGTATTAACCAACATGTGGGTAGGTCGACCTCGATGTCGCAGGGACGGAAAACTCTCTCCTGTTCACGCATACTGCGACGGAGAAGATCACTCAGCCGTGGCTCGACGACGACTGGGGACAAGAAGTCATCCAGCAGAAGATCTCCAAGACGTACATCGAGAACGAGGACGACGCGCTGCTCAAGTACCCGGCCAACTTCCAGGGAGGGTATTCTCTCGTGAACAGAGAGTCGCTGAACCGATGGGGCGTCCCGCGTGGCTACGCCATTCACGCCGGGTACTCCCCAATACACAACGTAAGCCGTCGCGTTCTCCATGGGGCTATCATCGCAGTGCTAAGCCATGCGTAGACCGTCGTCGGCTCCAAGCGTCTCCTGAACAACGCCAACTGGGCGCGCTACAACCTGGCCGTCTCGAAGCGCAAGGACACCGAGCCGACCTCGAGCTCACAGTGGAACCTGCACCTCCCGGGCGCACCCATGGTCGACTTCCACAAGTTCTTCGACGGCGAGAACCTCACCCAGACGGACCTCGTCGCGTGGGTCAACGTCGGCACGCACCACCTCCCGCAGGCGGAGGACTCGCCGAACACGCGCACGAACCTCGCCGCGTCGAGCTTCTTCCTCACGCCGCTCAACTACTTCGACTACGACGTCTCCATCGACTCGCGCAACGCGATCCTGCTCTCTGCGCCCGAGAAGCCGGGCGCGCCGTGGGCGTTCGACGACTATGGGGTGCGGCAGGCGCACTGCGTGCCGCCCCCGGTGGCGCCGTTCGAGTACAGGGGCGTGAGTGCGTTCGGGCTGGACGGGGCGCCGGCACCGGCGCAGACGGCGGAGGAGATGCGCAAGAGCGCGGAGCTGTTCCATCGCATCAAGGTTGAGCTATGATTTCGGGCGTCCCACGCGAAGGAAGAGATAGAGATCGATGAATACAAATACATGCAATGTTGTTGACATCTGTCCTCGTGCCCACCGGGTGCGCGTATCTGCATAGAAGTAATGAGGGCCGAGTCTCCTCCAGATAAGTAGGCTGATGGGGTATAAAGCTGCTGCTGTGTCTGCTATTAATGTCGCGTAACAGCTCATGGCTGAGATCTGGACGTATATGTTTGGCCGAGGGATCGCATGTATGCATGGCGCTATAGTGTAGTGGTTATCACTTGGGATTCTGATACGAGTCTTCCCAAAACCCAGGTTCGAGCCCTGGTAGCGCCTCTTGGTATGCCAGGAAACGGTTTTGGTCGAGGGCTTGTTGTGCAGTGTGCACCGCTCAGTCGAGACTCAGATCCACCGGACGCTCGCGAGAAGGCGCCAGCCATGTCTACCTTTTTGCGAACGCTCGCATATCGTTCGCACACGGACGTCATCCATCCAGGACAGAGCGAGCGATGGGGAATGCGATGCGTTGTGGTGCGTGTGGAGGCTTATTATACAAATGGACGAGCACATAGTCCGGACTACCAAGGGATGCTTGTGCGCACACTTCGACGCTTAAGGCGGGGAGGGGCACGATGACATGCAGGCGGCGAGGTGTACAGGTCCCTCGGCCCGCAGGGCACACAGCTGTGGCGCGTAAAGCAGGAAAGGCGGGCACCACCGAGTACTGCCCGACCATGAAGATGAACATGAAAGGATCAGTCGGGGAGCAGATTTGTGAGATAGCGGGGGGAGGAGAGGGCAGAGGTAGGGGTGGTTTAAGAGAGGAGCACGAAGGCCGACGCGGGAGGAGAGAACCAAACGGCGTCGACTTGCAGTCCATGTGCGGACGACCGCGCTCCTCGTTCGTCGCGATAGGGGGCAGGGCGGACGGAAGTACTCCTCGAGATATGGTGGGACAGCATCGGGGTCGATCGAAAACAAAATGGCGTGGATAGGCATGACGGGTCGTAAACAGCGAGGAGCGTAGTAGGTGTGCCGACGGGACGCATGGGAGCGATGCCGAGGACAACGGTCGTTCATGGCGGAGGACAGAGGACAGGACGGGTGAAGAGAGGGAGGGCGGGTAAGAGGAAGACGAGGAGCACGACGAACACGAAGGAGCGCGTCCGTTCCAGAACATGCGAATTATGGGGCCAGAGCGGGCGGCGGCACCCGACCACAGGGCCAGGTCGGGCGCGGCCGGGCGAGTGCCCCGAGTGGGTATAGCGTATGCTAGAGGTGGCCGGAGAAGAAGCGAAAGTTAAGCAGCAGACGGAGGGAGACCGGCGGTAGCAGCGTGGTCGGTATGCGGACGGGAACGTCGATGGGCGAGATACGGGATGTCGGTGCGAGATGATGCATGCCAGCCCGCGGGAAACGGCTTGGCGAAAGGAGGACGCCCGCGGGAGGGTCCAGCTGCAGGGCCGAGGAAGAGCAGGCGCGAGATCAGCACCTCGCGCAGAGACTGCGAGAAACCGACATGAGCGCGGGCGCGCGTGCCTGCCCGGCTTGCACGACGCAGTCATCAGCAGATGACGCATGACGAGCAGCACCCCGCCTGGTCCTCCGCATCCCCCGGGGCCGCGCCCGACGACGCGTTCGCGCCTCTCCGCTTCTTCTTCGGCACGTCCTCTGCCTGCGGGGCGTATGCGCGGATCGAGAGGTGCACGATCGTCGAGGCGGGCGCGGATGAGGGGACGGACGTCGGGAACGACACTTCTACATTACATGACAGGCACCCGCACTCATCAGCCACCGACATGGGGGGATGCGAGGGGAAGAGAGACGTACTGTCGAGCGAGTCTTCGTCCTGCAGGATTTTCCCGAGATATAATATGCGCAGGTATGAGGGCGCGGGCGGCCGCTCGTCCTGCCAATCTGCGGCAGCGGACACGGTTTTGGATCAGCACCCCATGCTTAGATTGGCGGCAAGCAAGAGAGAGGGGGGATAGAAAGCGTCGGCGGCATTGCAGCGCCCTTCCCACGCAAGCGTATGCCCGGAAGCTCTCATGGAGCGAGCATGCTCGCGCGACCGCTGCGCGTGGAGCGAAGAAAACGCAAAAAAACCTGACGACTCACCGTTCGGCCACGCGTTCCATACGAGCTCCTTCACCCGCCCCACGGTCGTCTCCGGCTCGAACGACATCGTCCGCCTCCGCCCGCTGACGAGCAGGAACGTCAGCGACACCTGCGGCGTCTGCGGGATTGCCGGCTCCTCTCGCGCGCCCTCTCCGCCCTCCTCGCCTATCCGTCCATCCTGCCGTCCGTTTTCCTCGTCGCCATCGTCGTCGTCGTCGTCATCGTCGTGGGCATCGACACCCACGAAGTCCCCGCGGGGCGTGTTAGCGCCGGAGAAATCAACGCGAGTGTAGGATGTGCGCGCAGAGGGGCAGAGGGGCGAGAACGTCGCCTGGGCCGCCTGCAGCGCGAGTGCGTTCTCGATGGACGCCGGCCGGGGCAGACGGGCGTGGACGGTCGCGGGGGTGTGTGTGGGGTCGAGGCTGGTCTGCGCCATCGCGGGCCCGCTTGAGGCTGAGGGATCGCTCATCGTGAGGTTGGGGCCTGGGGCGGGAGATGATGGGTGCGTGCGTGTGCGTGGTGGTGGTGGTGGTGGAAGGGGTGGGCGAGAGGGAGGTGCCGGTGGGAAGGAAGACGGGCGAAGGGCGGGACGTGTGGTGGTATATATGGGACGGGCAATTAAACGAGAACGTGGGAGTGGGTTCGCGTACGCAGACGTGGGGCGCGCGGATCAGCGAGAAGGCGGACGGTTCGGTAGGATCTAAGTCGGGCAGTGCGGGGTATTCCGAGCGTTGGTCAAATTGAAAAGTGAGGAGCAGAAGGCGGGAGAAGAGATGTAGAGAGGGAAGGGGGGGTGCGGAGGTGGAGGTCAGATGGACGAGCAAGGACGTGGAGGTGGGAAGGATGCGCACCGGAGGCTGTAGAGACGGACTGTATGTATGCGCCTGTGATCGCACTCGCGAACGACGAGCAGCGTGTGGCGGACTGGGCCTGTGGCGGACTGGGCCTGTGGCTGCTTGTGTGGGGGAGGTCGTGTGAGCTTTTACCCCGGTTTCGGCAATCTAGGCTGTATTGGCCGGGGGACGTTTGCTTGGCTGGTTGCAGTTGCAAGGGTAGCGGAAGGGCAGAGGACGAGGCGACGGCCACGAAGGTCGCAGCGAGGGTGATATATATGGGCTGAGGGCGCAAGGACATCCGTCGGTGGTCGCATTTGCAGGGGCGACGGACAGAGACGAGATCTTGCTCGCCTCTGATCCGGCCACTCGACCGCCGCGGCCAGTCTCCAGAGCGATCCACTCGCGGTCGAGCCTCTCCTCTCTCATCATCAACTCATCATCCTCCTCTTCCAATCCAGTCTCTCCTATCTACCTGCTTACATACTGTATGCTCTGGCCTCCCATCTTCTGCCTCTCACACCGCTTGTATGACGGCACATCCAGTCGCGTCAATCCTTCGGGTTTCTCGGCTGGAGGGCTACCCGTTCCACCCGGCCCCGCCGGTCTCAAGCCTGGCCTCCCGCCTGCATTAATGCAAGCTCAGTTTGCCCAGCTTTTCCACCTGCGTTCTCGGCCGCGTCCGCTGGCTGATCTCGCCTCGTACACGCCGCTCGCAGCCTCTCCATATACAGACTAATACTCATCTGCTCTTCTGAGCATGGGCCGCCCCCTATAGCTATGCCCTCCGACAGCATTCTGTCTCACCCCTGTCAAGTTCAACCAATCCGCGCACTACAATACCCTCACGCCAACTTGAGTTCATGCACTTTGCTTCCGCCACCTGAAACTGTCAATCGAGGGTTGAACCTTCTGCGCTGATCACAGATGTCGCTCTGGGACACTGACCGTCTTGTTTCGCATACTCAGGAGGAAACGACCTCGAAAGCGGCGGCGCACAGCTGCCAGTGCCAGGCAGCCATTCTGGCGAGAGGACGATTGCAGCAAATATTTCAGTTCTATGCACGCTATACTCGGGCAGGACGGAAAATGATGGTCTTCAGTTGGGACCACCGTGTCGCCACCGCTCTCTCGCGCGACCGGTGGGCCGAGCTCAAGCCGGCGGAAGGCGAATGTACCTGATACATGAGACGTAGCTAAGCGAAACCAAAATGGGGGCAGCGGAAGGGCGGGTGCAAAAACGAAAGCTCGAGGAGTGCGAGCTCCCGAAGGGCGAGGGGACGAGGATCCTGGGCTGCGAGCCCTTAACCTATATACTAGAAGAGACAAAGCGGATGTACAGTAGCCCCGGTCAGAATTGAGCGTATTTTCGCAGCCGCCCGTATTTTGTGCATCCGAGGCGCCAGCCCTTCGTCACAGCAGCGGGGTCAAGAGCCCCGTTCCATTGCACACCATTTCAGGACGCTCAACTGCCTGCATGATGAAGTCTCTAGGTTGTAGATTATACACACCATGCTACGACATCTGGCAGATTCCCCAACAGCGCATACTATCGCGACCCCAGTGTTCGGACAGACCCCAGTGTTCGAACAAACTGCCGTGGCTCCCTCACCTGCTGTCCGATAAAGCTATAAATTTGCACAATGATGCAACATAGAGACTCAAGTCAGATACAAAAAGAATGGCATGGATTGAGCGAGGTGTTGTTGCGATCTGGTAGCAGGAAGAGGTTCAGCGTGCAATGTTGGTACTCGGTCCAGCTTCCTTGTCGAGCGCTCATCCCCGAAAAACTTTGGCACCGTTTCCTAGGCATCCTGTTGTTGGAATCCTGGCGTCAAGATGGCGAGCTCGCGGAACGAGCGCCACAGGTCCCGCCCCCCGACGGATATCCGCGCCCTTATCTACCCCTATTCTACTGTGTATATAAGGTCTATTGTATGTACTACGTACGGCACGCGTTTGCACCGGCCAAACGCGAATCCCATTTGTGCCCGCTTGCCCTCGAACTTCTACACAAACGCGTCTCCTCTGCCCGAAGGATAATTCGAGGCACTGCCTAGTGGGGCCGAAGCCACTCGACGATCCCGCGAACCGACGACCCGTGACGACGACCGACCCGACGACGACCGACCCGACGACGACCCCGTGCACCCCGACGACCCCGTAACCGTGACCGCCCCGCGCTCCCCGCTGCTCCCGCCCCGATGGCACCGCCCACAATTGCAAAGCTCACCGACGACAACTACGCCGAATGGGTTATCGGCATGGAGGCCCTCCTTGTT